AAAATGAGGGTAATCATAATTCCTTCGTTAGTTCCTAAGGATTTCTTAAATAAAAGTTAGGTGGTAGATGGCAAATAATTTTAATATCTACACAAATAACTAGTACAAAGCACCCCGGAGGCTTCATCTTCAGTCTCTTTTGGTAGAGAGTCCTTGAACTGATGTTGAGGAAAGTTTGTGCAAACTTAGCAAAGAAGTTTATGTCACAGATAAGGTCATCTGTTAATATAAATGATAGGACAGGGGCTCCTGGGTGGCTCAATCGGTTAAGTGTCTGCCTTTGGCTCAGGTCATGATCTCAGGGTCCTGGGATTGAGTCCCACATCGGGCTCCCTGCTCCTGGGGCGTCAGCTTCTGCTTCTCCCTCCCTGCCCCCTGCCAGGCTCATGCTCTCCCTCTCTCTCTCTTTCTCTCAAATAAATTAATAAAATCTTTAAAAAATATATAATTGATAGGACAAGCAAAATCTTCATTGTAGTGAAATTTGTTTAACTCTATTGGAAATTATGCCCCCAGATTATAATGGAGATGGATGAAGTTAATACCCAGACATAAAGGAAAAGAAATATTGCGACCCAGCAAGAATGTTGCTTTGTTTTGGAAAGCAAATTAATGCTCAGAGACTGAGGGGTTTTTTTGCCAGCAATTTATTTAACACAGGTTCACTGTGGGAATTTCATAAGTCAATAGCATACAGGATGTCTCTTACTAAAGCCAATAAAGAAATAATATACTCCGAATCAATGATAGATTAATCATGTGATTATTCCAGGCAAGAGGAGAGGAAAGGAATAAAGTCCACATTCAGTGGGGTTGAGCCTTTATAGGAGTTGGTACTTGGGAGAGACAGGTTAGCCAACTGCGAGCTGAGGTCCAGCTATCAGTGCAAAAGGTAAAGTTCCCTGTTGCTAGAACATGTTGCTAGGGAACGGTAGCTCTGGTGTTGATGGACAAGATGAGCTTTGCCAAGAGCTGCTGCATGATTTTCACCTCTGCCAATAAGAGTTGCCTTGACCAAGGCAAGAGCTAATGCCCCAAGGTCTTTGGAGAGCTATTTTAGATGAGAAGGAGTGGCCTTGCCCAGACTGAACACTCTCAGATAGGCCTCACAAACTCTTGGTATTTATAGTCTAAATGTCCCTTTGACATAGTTGCTTCCTTATATGTTTCTATCGAGAAGCTCCTCCCCCCCCGCCCGGCTGGGGGGGTGGCCTCCAGTAGCTGAACTGCTGAGTTCTTATTGGTGAGAAGAGATGAGATGGTGATTTTGTGACACAACTTACTTCATTCTTATATCAAAACAACTTTACTTCTAAAAACAACTATTTGTTTTGGTCTTTGTCATAAATAAGTGGATTTGAAATTGTACCAAACCAGTATATAACAGATGTGGTGCCCCCTGTATCAAACATGTAACTACACTCTGTACTTACAGATTTAGAAAGTATGCAACAGCTTCTTTCATTACTGAGAAGGAAAGTACTCTCAAAGTGTAGAGCATTCACTTTCCTGGATTTATTTCTTGCATAGAATTCTGTATAGTACAAATGATAGCATAATCATTATTGAAAATGAGATGGCTGATTATGTGGAACCTAATTATATAGATACTTTTTTTAATTTTATGAATATCATTTTTATGGAACTTTACCAACAATAGTAATAACAACAGCATTATTTATTGAATAATTACTATAATCAGGGACTATGTCAAGCACATTATATACATTTTATCCTTCCTATAACTCCTTTAAGGAAATTCTACAATCTAGGTTTTCCAGACAAAGATACTGTGACTCAGAGAGATTAAAGAACTTCCCTAAGATCACACAGCCAGAGGTGAGATTCAAACCCAGATATTCTGACTCCAAATCCTTAACTCTTAACCAGTTTCGGTTCTTTTCTGACCCACTAATTGCTCTAAATAATGATTCGGCCATGAAGTTAGTCACTGGTAAAGTTGTGGGACAGTGACTAGAGAATGTCCTTAATGTGTTAAGGGGCAGAAATGGAAAATAAGAGTGTCAGGATTTTGTACAAGCCCAATCCTTGACCATAAATTGCTCAAATATGGAAGTGCAGGTCCCTGATCCAAATACTGTGACAAATTCAGAGGAAGTTGGTTGACCCCCCCCCGCCAGGGAAGAAATTATGGGCTAGAACTGTGAGTCTACTGGGGAGGCAGTAAGGCCCCAGAGTAGGGCCCCAGCAGTAGGGCCAACTACTAGATGGAATTCAGGGTGGTGCTGAACTAGTCAAAACAAAACAGAGAAGTAAAAGTTTACTTGCAGGAACAAGACCACAGTGAGGAGAAATAATAGTGCTTAGAAATCAACAAAAAATTCCCTGCAGTCACACTTGAAGCAAAAAACCCTGGATCCAATCAGCAGCAATGGAAACCCAAAAGACAAATCATGCCAGGGATCAGTTGGAGTTCCAAGGTGTGGAAGAATGGCTAATGCTGAGCTCCACGTGGTGTGCTTGCTACGCTACTGTCTTCTTATATGGAAATCAGTATCCAACTGAGCTCAAGGGTGAGCAGGTAGTTGAGTGTGAAGGTTGGCAGAGAAGGAAATGAGGTGGGGAATACTAACTCTATATGAACACACTTGCGAAGACCCAAGGCTAGAAAAACAAGGATGGTAACTCTGACCTACACGATTCAAAGTAAAAATGAAAGAAATTACAACAAAGTACTTGTTTTTCTTATGTTGAAAAATTATCAAGAGCTTTAGTAGAATATTAAATATATTATAAAATTTTCATAGCCCTGATCATATGTCCAGTTTCTCTGTAGACTGGATGAAAAAGTAGGGCCTAATTCTCAACATTTATACTCCGTCTGAAAGTGAGTTTGCTAAAAGATCTCCTGAAGGTTTGTAGGGAATTAGTTCATGAAAATCTGAACCATCTTTAGAATATATCAAATCTTAGTGATTTCCCTGTGGAGTCCCCAAAATGGTCATACCCTATTGCTTCAGATACATAACACAAGAGACCCAGATCCCATATCTCTGAACCCTAAGCCCGAAGAAAAGAATGGCAATCAAGATTCAAGAATACAATTAAGAAATAACTATTGGCATTGGAATGTAAATCACCACCTTCCTACATACAATATTTCTTCTTTCCAAAGCCACAGCCTGCAGAAACCGCTCTATTTCCTTACCTAGAGCCTTGTGCCAGTGATGTAGCCTTTGATAATTCTTGCAATAAAAATCCAGTCATGTATGACATTTAGGAGGGAGCAAAAGGTTTGACTTGCCGTGGGGCCCTGGAACCCTTATAAAGATGCCTTTAATGAGAAATGAAAGGAAAAAAATTAAGGATTCAGAAATTGAGCCAAATCAGAAAGGGTGTGCCAAATCACTAGGCATTAGGCTGCCTTTTAATGGTTCTAGGTAAAGAGAGGACCTTAATGTAAATCCCCCCCCAAATTCAAATTAACCTAATACCAGACTAGATTGGAAAAGAAGAGGAGTAAAGAGGACCAAGATGAAGCCTTAATGCTTTCTCAGCTACTGACAAGGTGAATTTTGGGCAGCACTGGAATATAGACATTTAAGAACCGGGCTGGTGTCACCCATGTCACAAGCATGCTTACACTTCCAAGAAAATCTGAGCTTTCACCAAGTGGTCCCTAATAGCAAGAATAGGCCACGCCCCTTCCACAGAATCTATTCCAATGAGATGTAGTCTGCTCACATTTTCATTCAGCTCTTTTGCTCAGTTCCTTCAGTTAGCCTGGTCCTATTTCCTGTGGAGGGGTGGGGGGAGTTTTTAGTTACAGGCCATGCTCTGTGTCATTTAGAAAACAGCCACTTTTCTCTCTAAGTCCCTTTCATTGAGTGTGAGCCAAATGTCTGCCTCTCACACTCCCTTGAAATCAGTACCCTAAGTAATTTTTGGCTAAGGATATGCTCTCACAGAGAGATGGTGACCTTCTGTGTCTCCCCACATGTCATTCTGTTTACACCCACTAGTCAGTGCAGTCTAACAAAAAGTCTGTGGCAAGTCAAGAATATTTATCTCCTACGAGGAAAGGAAAATGTTCTTAGGCGAGAATGATTCCTGGGAATATACAAGACAAGAAGAAGCTTGGTTTCCTCCATCAATCTGGGTATCCCCGAGCATTAGATGGACGCAGCAGACCCTTGTTAATTAAAGCACAATCCTCATCCAGGCAGTACCAACATCACTCGTAAGTTTGCTAGAAATACAGATCCTAGGCCTTCTCCAGATCAGCTCCAGAAGAACCTGCAATCCCCAGGTGATTCATATTCACATTCAGGGTTGAGGGGTACCGGCACAGAACAGTGGTTCTCAACCTTGGTTACAGGTAAGAATCAACCTGGGAATCTTAAAAAAAAGTTACTGATGACTGGGTCCTACCCCCAGAGATTCCAAGTTAATCAGTCTGGGGTGTGGCCTAAGCACTGGGATTTTTAAATCTCCCCAGGAGATTCTGAAGCAGTCAGGGTTGAGAGGCACCGGCCTCACAGTCAAACAGTGGGATTCCTGGAGTCAGAATCCCCTTTCCCCTGTGGCCTGGCGGCCAGAGAGCTGCAGAGTAAGTAGTGGGGAGATCTCTGCTAAGGACTTAACTTTCTGCCTGGTGCTCTGTTCCTCTCAGCTTCTCTACACAGCTGTCCCTGACCCCTCACCCCTCTGCCAAACTACACCAGTGGTGAATGTCAACTGGTGCTTTAAAGACGCAAGCTCCGAGTCACCCTTGAGGACTACAACATCAGAGTCTCAAGATGGGATGCTAAAATCTGCATTTTTTCAAAAAGTGGTTCTTTTTTTTAAGATTTTATTTGACAGAAAGAGATACAGCGAGAGAGGAAACACAAGCAGGAGGAGTGAGAGAGGGAGAAGCAGGCTTCCGACGGAGCAGGGAGCCCAGTGGAGCCCAACGCAATGTGGGGCTCCATCCCAGGACTCTGGGATCATGACCTGGGCCGAAGGCAGATGCTTAACGACTGAGCCACCCAGGCGCCCCCTAAAATCTGCATTTTTAACAAGCTTCCCAGGTGTGTCTGGTGTGCAGCCAGGTTTGTGAACTCCACAGTGGGTCTAGCCTTTCATCCTGCCAAGTCATTAAGGATTTGTAAGGATGAATGAGCTGTCAAGAGAGCAAGGGCCTGGTGCAGTGCTCCTTTATTAATTATGGGGAAGTGATGTATTGGCAATGATAATGCTTCTCTTGGAAAGGCCAATGAATGGTTCGTCGATTGCTGCATTAGGTTTTTCCCAACTCAACCTTAATGCTCAGCTTTTACTCCTCTGTGTAGTTTAGAAGCCGAACGGCTTTCGCGTTAAACAGCTTCTTGGTCTTTATTCCCAGGTGAGCTGCAATCTTTGAGGGAAATACCAACACGGAGAATCTTTCCGAGATCTTGGCTGGGGAATACCTTTCCCCTCACCCCCACATCCTTATGTGCTTGTGTCAGCAGCTTCTAGCCACGGTACTGCTGTGCATGTCTATACGTAGGAAAAACACAGTGAGGATATAAGAGAAAATCATTGATACATCCCCAGGTCCCTTTGCTAAACGAAAGCTTCCTTTCGCAGAGGGCTAGAAAGCGGAGGAAGAAAGATATATCTGGATGAACAATTTCAGAGGTGAGAAATGGGTAGGCAAGTCAGGGTGAGGGTTCTGCCTGTGGGAGAGGCGAGGAAGGTTGAAAAGAAAAGTTGCAGCGCCCGTCTGCGCGTGTAATCGATGGGCTGGGTGCCCGCCCCGGAGAGCGCTAGCGCGCGGCCAGAACGCACTGCGGAGCCGAGGGCCGGGAGCAAATCGAAAAACCTCGGCGGCGGAGGCTGGGAGGCTGGGAGGCTGGAAAGGCTCCCCGCCCGCTCGGGGCTCCAGAAACGCGCCGGCTCTCCTCCCGGGCGGTCGCCGAGGGCGCCGAGGCTCGGCTGGCCGCGGAGGTGGCGGCGGCGGCAGCGGCGGCGGCGGGGCCGAGCGCGCGTG